TCTTGACTTTAGGATCCAGGGGGTTTATAATGAGGCGATTTTGGTATCCTCAACCTCCCAAATTAGGGCCCTATAACCATCATATGATAGTCATAGGGTCCTACAAATCCTTTTACTAGCTTAGGGTGTAGGGTTAAGGGTTTAGGATATGGTGAAGTAGATTTGCGTCTGGACATCCCTCACCCTAGGGTGCAGAAAACTAAATTTAGTGAATTTCGCGTTGACTCTAAGGTTTAGGGTTTAGGGTTTATGTGGAGAGCATCGGGGAACCCTCAAGATAGATTCCAACATATTATCATCCTCTTTATACGCACCCTCAAAATGGGGACCTCCAAGGGTTGGAAACAGCAAGCTCTCCACATCAGCACATCCGTACAATATCTGTATATATATATATACACACACATAATCTATACCATATGTATAGAAACATATATACAACCCTAAATTAAACCCCAAACCCGAAGCCCATATCACCTTATTTATGGAGGCTAGACCTGTTAGCCCTTAACCCTGTCATGCCCCGAACTGGCGACTCGCAGGACCAGCACATGGCTGCCCTGGGTGTATCTGACGACGTTGAGGCGAGGGGAGCGGGGGGTGGGTGTAGGGTTTAGGATTTTGAGTTTAGGGTTGAGGATTTAGGATTTAGGGTTTAGGGAAAGGGGAAGGAGGCTTAGGGGCTTTGGGCTTGGCGCGTGGCATGTAGGGTTTAGGGCAACTGTATTTGGGGGGGGCATTTCATGTTTGGACACTTTACCCTGAACCAATAATCATAGTAATAAGGATAGTAAGAAATTTTGAAAAGACGAATTCGCAAAAATAAGCTCCGAGACTGGAACCCTAGCGTCGAAATAGGGGGCAGAATCCACAAATCTGCTAGAGTAGCCGTGCGACAAACAACTGACGGTCAGATTTTCTCCCCGTGCATCCTGAAGTCCTAAACCCAAACCCCTACACCCCAGAGCCGTGCATAGGAATTTGCCGAAATTAGTGCCAGCCATTTGTTCCCTAAACCCTAAACCCTAAAACCCTAAACCCTTTTTGGGGGATTCTGCAAAAACCCACACTTCTGAGAAGCTTTAAGCTCCACAAGTTCATCCCTGCATATCTGCTGTAGAGCCCCTAAACCCTATAGTCCCCCTAAACCCTATAGTCCCCCTTAAGTAGATAGAATATGGGGTAAATGGGGATCTTATTATAACATACCCAAAGCCATATTCTATCTACTTAAGGGGGACTATAGACCCTAAACATTCATCATTCCAAAAAAACCGATGAGTTCGTGGTTTTGTTGTAAGCAGTATCAAACGGCATGTTCCCTTATAGGGGAGTTGCAATTGCCGCAGAGGTCCCTATGCTAATTCGAGGCAAGGCCCCCTAAACTCTAAGCCTTCAAGCCCTGTCCCCACCAAATACTTAGCTCCATGAACCCCCAAGCCACAAACCCTAACCCCTACAGTACACCCAAAACCCTAAACCCTCAACCCTGAACCCTAAACCCCAAACCCTGAACCCTAAACCCAAACCCGACACCCCAAACCCTAAACCCTAAGCCCATGTCGACATCCCCTAAGGTGGCCCCCAAGGAGCTGATCCGAAGGCCGACATGCTTTGGGAACTTAGGCATATGAGCTAGACTCTGAACTCCTTAAAGGGGGTTATATAGGGGACCATATAGGCGAGTATTATACGGGTTATTCCGGGGGATACTAAGACTAAAGCTCATATGGGGCTTAGGGTTTAGGGTTTGGGGATCTACAGGCATGTCTAAGGGTATGGTGTGTATACTGAGATACCCACGTATATCTATACCTATATCTATTATCTATATCTCTATCTATATCTACATTTATCTGCTTGTATATGTACATACACAGGTATATTGAAAAGGTGAGGCTTAGGGGCTAAGGGTTGAGGCTTCAGGGTTCTTTCCTAGGAAAGAAGATCGTTCACAGGACCCCCCGGTGGGCAAGATGTTCAGAAGGTTGATGTAGCTCCATTGGAGCTTTAAGCCATTTTTTTCTGAGAAGTGACGTCTCCTGGGTAGTGGAGAAGATTGCTCCCTAAACCCCAAACCCTACAACATGGCAGTCGGGATGATGCCCTAAATTCCCACTTTTCTTTTTATTCTGCATTCCAACAACGAGCCCCCTGCTCGGGGGCTTCTCGGGGGCCTCTCGGATGGCCTGTTAGGGGCATTGGTTTCTCAGGCCTTGGCAGCTCTTGACAAGGTGTGAAGGGCTGCCGGATGCAATTCTGGCTCCAGGCACCCTGGAAAAGGGTGGGTACGGCCTAAGCAGGCCAGGATGCGAAGTTAGGGTTCAGGGTGCATGGCCCTACTTACCTCGTACCTTGGGAATTGTGGCAGCATAGTGTACTAAGGTCATGCAGGCTGTTGGGTCAACAGTGCCACTGCAAAATTCAAACAAAAGACCTGAAATTGAAGGTCACAAAGCAGTCCTGCATAGCGCCATATGTCCCCCTTCCCGCCTTTGTCCTGGACCAAAACCTTAATCCCTAAACCCTACACCCTAATCAGTATTCTTCTGAAAAAGTTTGCAGGATCTTCGACCGTGTCTTCGAGACGCGGATAAAGCCCATTTTCGAGGCCTGCTTCTGACAGCTACCTTCCATCCGGGGATATACGGGCTTTTCAGGGGTATGTAAGGGTTTAGGACTTTACATTCTACAATCCAGTCAGGGGGCCCCGCAAGGTTATTGGTTTGGTCATTGCCCCTTACCACAACAGTTACCGCAAGATTTTATAGGAGTTATACTAGCCCCTGAAAAAGCCCCCTTAAGGACAGTTACTGTAAGGGGGAATGACTCCACTTGTTAATTAGTAGAGTGATCAGGAGTCGGCCTGCAAAACGGGTTCAGAGCTCGCTCATGACGCCAACCAACATATCATGATCCCTGATCTAGGGACTCCCTTTAAAAACTGGGCTGGTGGAAACCTCCATATGGTCCCCTCCAAGAAATATCCGAAGAGTCCCTGATGGCCCCGAATATGACTGCTTACGAGTGAGGGTCCTAAACCCTACTTAAGCCTTCAGGGGTTCCAGGGCTGGACCCCCCAAGGACTTTAACGTTCCCCCAGATGGCCCTTCATGCACGGCTTCTAGGACCCCATTCATGTCTCGCAAGCTACTCCAGCCAAGCTGGCTACATAGGGAGGAATAAAGACTGCTGTCCTTTAAGAGGGGGCTTTAAGGGGTTCCACGTTGGGTTAGGTTGACCACTGTAATATTACGAAAATCTCCATATCCCCTTGAGGCCCTTGTTCCCCCTATACCCTAGTTTGGTGCAGGCAAGTTTGAGTACATAAAATGCGTACTATGATGCAGAACCTGGCACTTCCAGAGAACGATCCCCGTCTTTAACGCTATAGGGTCAGGGTTCAACATGACACATGCATCAATCCTAGAATGCCGTTGCAGTATGTAGCTGACCCTCTTGTTGTTAAAAGATCAGAAATCCCAAGAATCAGACACATTCGTACAATGTGCCCGCTGGCCCATGTACGACGGAGGCCCCAGATCACTATGAGATGGCGCCCGACCCCCGGATATTCAGAAAAGATTTGCATGCTGGTTGTTTTAAGGTAGAGAACGGAGGAGTGGATTCCCATAGTAGCCTTCTACAATCCCCATCAAAGCAGTAGTTTCCATCTTCTTTCCCATTCTTTCAGTCCCCTACAAGTCAGCAAGTTTCCCCAAACCCTAAACGCTAAGCCCTAAAGCCCTAAAACCCTAAACCCTCAAACCCCAGACCCTAGAACCTTAAACCCTTAACCCCTAAACCCTAAGACCCCGAACCCGCAACCCCTAAACTCTAAAACCTGAAACCCTAAACCCTAGGGTCGGAGGGTTGGAGTTGAGGGGTGTAGCCTTCAACCTTTCAGGGGTTAAGTGTTTAGGGTTGTTCAGGGGCTCAGGATTGGTTGAGATTACGCGAAGCTTCCTCTGAGTAGTTGGTCTTTTGTTGGGTCCCCATTCAAATACGGCCCCTTCATATTTGGGGCACCCAAAATGGGAGCATAGTTTTTGAGCTTAAGGTATTTTAGCAATATGCATGAACATAGGGTTTGGGTGTTAGGGTTTCCAGGTGTATTGGCTATGCCCAAATAGTACAAAAGAGAATCTGAGGGCTTCCGAGAATTGAGCCACGGTTTCATCTCATGTTCAGATTTATCGCTCTTGAGTTTTGCCCCATTGAAAATCCAAGGCTCTACCCCATAAACCCTAAACCCTAAAGGCCTAATTCCAACCCATACCCCTAAACCCTGTCTTGCAGAGGTTCCGGCAGGCTAGTCTACGCAGAGCCCAAATGGGCGTTGATCTAAAGGTTCTTTGCGGAGATTATTTACGCTTCCTGTAATTTCTCGTACTTCGGCTCACCGTTTTTGCTTGTAAAACGCGCCTGGCGTATGACTAGCTGACTGACTGACTGACTGACCGACCGACAGACTGACTGGCTGACAGAATAGACTTGAGTAGCTGTTCAAACGTGAATCAGTCACTACAATCTGCAACAAAGCGCAAGGCATGTTTCCTTGTGGGCGAAGTATGTGACAAGAAGCACATAATCTTGTTTGGCCCAACAATCAAAATCCACTCTTCAATTGTAGACCTCAAAGCCCAGGAACACGTCCGTCTGAAGAACGCCTTCGTTCGCTACCTCGTGGGGCGCGCCAAGTAGAGATGCGTGCCAGGTTTCTGTATATTTGCAAGGGTGCCTCATTTATCCCACTTCTTGGTGTGTGTTTTATGTTTTGTAGAGGTTGCTTCAGTTCGATCTGGGCAGCATTATGTGAATTGCAGGGTCTTGCGGAATATGCAGCTGGAGGGCCCGCATCTCAAATGCCACTGCGTGAACTTGGTGAGTTTTCGAAACAGATCTTGAAATTTGTCCGCACACGAATCTTCGCCACTGCTTCAGCTTCTTGCGAGTGCATTCGCGAGTGGGATGGCTTTTGGTTGAGAATCTAGGTGCCAATGGCTAGTGCGTGTACGTGGAAGAAGAACCCTAAGTGATGGGTAGATCAAGCAGGTTGGCCAATCTAGCCGTGTATGTTGATCTACACAAGGGTGTCTGAGCCATAGCTAATAAGGAAACTCTCTACGTCTGGGCCTTCAGGGTATGTAGTGTGTAGTCTGAATATGTCAGGGTGCATACTGCAGATGGTCACAATCATGTTCATTTTTTGAGCTAAGCGTAACAAAGAGGACCCAAGAATGACCAGATTCGAAGGGTCATACTGACACAAGCATTTTCCATGACCCTTAGTACCTAAGTACCTTAGACCCTGGGAAATATGTCATTCCAGTACATGAACTTAGTAGCTGAGTAGAAAACCTGTAACCTTCTAGAGTTTGTATGAGCTACTGTCAATACCAGGCTTACCAAACCTTTGAGGGTGGACATAGGGGTCCGTTTCGTAGTTTGGTACAGTCCCTCATAAACTCTCTGATAGGAAGCCATGTCCGTGAATCATATTGGAAATATTGATTATAGCTCATATCACCTTATTATAGCTGAAAGTAGGTTCAGGTCATGCAGCACGTACTTGGCCAGCCCGGACAGGCAGACGATCATCTTTGCCCGGTACGACTTTCTGGAGGCCAGCTTGTAGGTGCTTACTGTAGCACATTCTAGGGTGTAGAGTTTAGGGTTCAGGGCAAAAGGTTCAGGGTTTCGGATTTAGGATTTTGGGTTCAGGCTCGTACTTTCGGGTTTAGGATTGAGGGTTGTAGGGTTGAACGTTTACAGGCTTTAGGGAGCTTTTTTGGGGTACCCTGTTTCGTGGTCAGGGAATTGTAGCCAAGACAGTGCGTACCCAGAGAAGTTGTAGGGTCTAAGCCTTCAAAACCCTCACCCTCAAAGACTAAATCCAAAACCTTAAGCCCGCCTTCTGCCATGCATCTTAACTCTAAGCGCAAGGCCTATGCTAGACTCCTGCAGAGGAAGCCGGTACAACGATCAATGCACTTTTCCAGTGAACTACCCACAAGCCTCTTCAGTTGAATGCATGAGATGCACCAGCGCAATGTAGAAACACAACAATTACCGATTTATGGGGCCAGATTGATTGTTTTTTTTGGTATAGGGTACCTCGAACAGACATCATAACGATGTTGGTAAGCATTCAGGCTTTACATTAGACCATTGCAAGGAGAGTCGCCGCTATGCAGAGAAGCTGACGCAGTTTGTGCGGGAGCTCCCTGGCTGGAACGGGACGGGCAGCCTTCAGATTGCAGGCGTCATTTAGGGTGGAGCAGAATTTGCTAGACTGGGCTGGGGACTGAGGTTCAGGGTGTAACCCTAGCCCATGGGAACATGTGTGGGCATCGGCTGGTGGGTGATTGGGTGGGCACTTGGGTGGGGGTCGCAACCGAGTTGCAGCCAACAGCAGCACGAATAATTGGCATTCCAAGGATGCTGAGAGAGAGTTGTAGAGGTGCAGCATAAGACGAGCCAAAAAGAAGCAGACATGAAACATAACAGAAGCGGTAGCGAGGAGCAGCAATCACAAGGTTGTGCATCATTAGGGCCGGTAGTCTTTCCCGTACTATGGCAGGATGCTCGTCAGCACGCTACTTCATGACGTTTGCCACTATTCTCCACACCATGTTTCGCTCTGTAGCCCTGATGCCCTTAGGGCCGGAATATAGGGATGTTCAGGGCTTCCGGATTCTGATCTTCCAGCTTCACAAGCAAATCTCAGCGTCTGAAGCCGTCAAGCGGAGCAGGGCCGCCAAGCGGAGCAGATAGGGTTCAAAGGCTGAAGCTGACCTTTGGTTCGGAGTGATGACAAAGTTACCACCTTTTCAGTATCAGTGCTGTATGCCTTACTTCCTCTGGCATCCTGCCTCATTGTGGACAATATGAGGTACGGTCAAAGACGACTCTTGTTAGAAACAGTACGTAGCGCTGCAAGTTTGACCCTTGGGGCCCCCCTAGTTCCTCTGGAATGCCGCCTTCATGGAGTGCCGAAGTGGTTCCTGTGGTGAGTACTATCTTGCAGAATGCTTGCGAAGTCATCTCTGCTCATGCGACAGTACACATGGTGCAAAGGTGTTGGGTTCAGGATTTTGGGGATTGAGGGGTTCTGTAGGGATATGTGGGTTATATCGGTACATATATGTATATACGTATCTATATATATATATATGGATAATGCTGCTCAACGCTGGACTTGTCAAGAAAGCCAAGCAGCCTAGGAATGCGGCATCCTTCACCGAAAAAAAAGTGGAGACAGCTCGGGGTCTCTATGCTCAATTCCTGCGCACTCTGCTCCAGACGCTGGGTTTGAGGTGTACGTTGAGAGCTGAGGTCTTAGAGTTTGAGGCTTTGAGCTTGGGGCTACCAGAGCAGCCGCGGAACTTTCTCCGTTAAAATCGTTTTAAACTCCATGGAGACGTCATTAGTTAAGTAAATCCGTTCTGTAATCAGCATTAGGTAGCAATCAATCCAGTAGTTGTTTAGTTAATTTCTCTATTACGTACTTACTGAATTCATTCTCCATTGAACCCCCCTAATTCATGAGTAGGTGGCCCCTTTAAAAAGTACTCTTCCCCTTCAAAAGTAATCTTTCCTTGAATTTGTTATTTGATATCAGGGGGGGTTTCGTTTTAGGGATTCATTATCTCCCGTTGGAGCGACGCAAGGGACTTCAAATTGCAGAGCCTTCCGCCCACTCCTGCATGTTCCGCCTTAAGAGTCCACGCGGTTTATAATATCGTCGTAGAACAGCTCTTTTGATCATAGTGAGCTGCAAAATGCGAGAAGTTGAGATTCGGGGTGGGTGCAGTGTGGGTTTCAGTTCCAACACGTAGGGGTCCTTTGCTGCACTCAAATTCTCCAAGTTCTGCCAGGAGGTCTGCCTGTTCGACATGTAGCCCAACCACAAGGGTCGCCTTGCATCTGCAAAGGTGTCAGGAAATTAGCGCAGCAAGGCTTTCTAGCTAAGCTGGACAGCTACTTGACTGTGCCGCATTCAGACTTGAGTTGAGTGAGCTGTTATGAACGTTCAATAACGTTTCTTCTTTGTAGATCTGCTCTCCATGCTCCCAGATTGGCTCAGGAAGTCATTGATCACGCCTGACGATTACGAGGCAGAGTGAGTTTCAGGATTCCCCTGTGCAATGCTCTAGTCTGCTGCATAAGCTTCCGAGCCCAGACCCGGTGGATTTGACGTCATACTTCGGGGAAGATCCGCCTCGGAACTAGGACTTTAGCGCTCCATGCCCATCAACTCAAGCTATACAAAGGGCTCGCCCAAACCCTAACCCTCCCCCCAGCTAAGGTTGGAACCATGGCCCCTTGTATGAGCCCGTGTTCCTGGGGTCCTCATATACCAATTACGTACCTGGACGTACCCTATCAAGCCTTGCGAGCCCAATCAAGCGCCCACAGTTCGGAGTCCATCTCAACCGGAAGCCTGTGGTTGAAACTACTATGGGATGTAGGGCTTCGGGTGTGGGCTATGGAAAAGAAAATGGAGAGTCTTTTGTGACTGGGGTTCTATGCGGCTACTAGAACACCTGCACTCCCTACTAACAGCCAGCAACTTGATTAGCGTGAGCTGAAGAATCTGCAGCCTGTATACAGTGGACACTGTCCATTCTGAAACGCGTTCTTTATGCAAATGCTTCCTTGTGCCCTAGTTGCCGCACAGCAGCGAGCTGCATGGTTTTTCAGATTCTTTGTTCTGCATGTTCGCTGGAATTCCACTGGTCTGCAGGTTAGCTCACATGGGCGAGTTCGAGACTCAAAGGGCTTAGCAAGTCTTGGCTCCACAGATGGCAGCGGGTACCGGCGCATCTTTATAGACAAGCGATCCTACGCAGTGCATCGGCTGGTGGCAGCAGCGTTTCTGGGTCCTCCGCCACATCCGACATGCTGGCAGGTTAACCACCTGGACGGTGACCCCGCGAACAATCATGTCAGCAACTTGCAATATGTCACGGCTGCAGACAACCTGAAACATGCCTGGGCAACAAGCAGGAGCAGACAAACCTTGGCTGCAAAACTGGGCAAGCCGGTGCATTGGCGTCACTGCGCGCAGTTTTCTTGGAACTACTGCATATCGCAAAGTGAAGCTGTGAGGATGCTCGGCGTGAAATTTCAAGCGGTCGCTCGATGCTGCGATGGACAGCTTAGGTTCTGTGAGGGCAACGACGGGTGGTATGAATTTAGACGGGCTATGCGTCCTCGAGATGGCATCTTGCATTTGGATGAGGTGTGGAAGCATGCTTCATACCCAGGCGACGGCCAAGCCAAAATCGCGAACCTGATGGTGAGCAACCATGGGCGAATCTGGCAGATAGTCCAGGGTAGAGATGTTATTGGTTACGGCTCGAAGCTGAAGAACGGATACGTCAGTGTCACAAAAAGCGCACGGGCGCTGTTAGTGCACCGCCTTGTGGCAGCATCCTTTCTGGGCCAACCGGAACCATCAACTTTGCAGGTAAACCATAAGGATGGCGACAAGTCGAACAATCATGTACGAAACCTGGAGTACGTCACACCATCCGAAAATACTCGCCACTCATGGCAGCAGAGAGCGCGCTTGGCAGGGCGGTGCAAACCCGTACTTGCACGTCCAAGCGGTTACGACGGCTCCTGGCAGGCATTTCGCTCCTTGACAGCTGCTGCATCACATACGGGCCTTCAACGCGCAACAGTAGCTGCCATTTGCAAAGGTGTGAAGTCGGGTGCGTCCTGGGATTTCAAATTTGCATCTGAGGAGCTTCTCCATGCCGAGAAATGGCGATCGATTGTGTTTGAAGGCGTTCGCCGATCAGTGGAATGAAGCAATCCACCACCAACCCACCAATCCGGGGAACAAACCTAGAGCAGCCTGTCGTATTCAGCTTCTGCTGCAGGGCACCTGAACAGAGAGCTCCCAGGCAAGCAGTCAGCAGCCATCAAAGATTCTCGAGATGATTTGTTCTTTGGGTTCTCGCAAGTGTTGTTCGGCCACGTAAATGCCCACAGTCTCTGTCAGATGCGTGACTCTAAGAGCGGCGAAACTTGTGCCTGTGATGCGTGATGTTTGGCTTAGACTGTGGCAAGGCGCACTGCAATAGGAGACATCACAAGTTTGATGTAACAACGTGTCTGAGCTCTTCATATCCAAAGGCCACATCGAAAAGTTGCTAGACACGGCTGGCTGACTTGAGAAGGCAAGCCCACCCATCTACCAACCAACTCAAGACTGCACATGTCTGTGCTGCCGCAAACACTTGCAAACACATAGCCAACTTGGGACTCTGAATCTAAACGCCCCATAACAAAACTTAGCAGTCACGAGCCTCTGCAGAGCCAGGGTTCTTGCAGCCCCAGCTCCTCTCCCACCCGTGCCGCAGGTCTACCAGCAAATCTGTCCGCTATTTGATCCGGTCTATGTCTTCTACGATGAGAAGAAGGAGCTGAATCTGAGTACAGTGCATCTCGCCCAAGCTGACATGGGAGGTTTGATAACGTTGCTTGTAGAGGTCCACCTTAGGCTCTACGCCTAGAGCGAACATCATGCAGGTGTCTAGACCAGAACCACGTGAACTCGCAGAACCACGTGAACTCGTTGCTAGCCATGCCACAAGATCTTCATACATGCTCGCCGGAGACTCAACAGAAGTGCCAGCCCGCATGGGTGCCCCAGTGCCGGCATGGCGCCATTCCCTCCAGATGCCATGACATCTATGTGGTAATTTAAGTCAGAGGCACAGGAACACAGGTTGCCAGCGCAGTAGACCGTTGTGGCGCGGCGAGAGTTGTACTGTAATACTTCGGATTTTATTGCCAGTTGGCAGTTTGTTTCAGGCTTGGCGGCAAGTGCCGGTCTGGCCGTCGCCCCCTTACAGCCAGCCATCATGTGAAGACCAGGCCACCCCAGCCCTGCTAATGCTCCTGATCGGGAGAAGTGTATGAAAAAGTAACCCTCTTGCCACTTGGGATGTCTTTTAAGATCTTGTTTCCTGTTGGCTAACCGAAAATGTAGCCCCCCGAACCTGGTTCTGGCACAAGTTTTCATGCTCTGACGCACATTTTCCGTATGTAGCAGTTCAGAAACCACTCTTTTCCATTAATAAAGTCTCAGGCCCCGAACACAGCAGTTTGAATGGTGTCTGTTTTTGAAGGCCCTATAACTTAGGAACTTGGACCCTATAAACCTTAAACCCTACATTCTAAACCTGACATGCTAACCGCCGAATCGCTAAACCTCTAGACCTGAAACCCTAACACACGAATCCCAAAACCCTTCGCGATCAGACTTAGGTACTTGGAACCTTAGGTAAATGCTTTGCACACCAGGACTTCTATGCCCAGCTGGTCGAGGTGCAGGAGGAGATCCTTGGAGGCTGTTAAGACAGCAGGCCCCTGGACGGCTCAGATTTAGGGGCCAGAGTCATTACCAGCATTTAGGAATTGGGTCTAAGGGTCTGGGCCTTAAGCTTTGGGGTACTCATGGAGATTTACATGGGAAAGACAATGGAACATGATAAGGACACTGGCTTCATACAGGGTTTGGGTGATCATGATTTTTTTCTTTTAGAATGTTGCCATTGTTCCTAGCACTAGGAGGAGTAGCGCTGGAGCCGTTGTTCTAGCTTTTTGAGGAACCGCGAAGGGAAGGAGATGAGGAACGAGAATGGTAGCAGTGAGATGTTTGTTTCTTGTATCGTCACTCTCGTAAATGAGACGAGTGGTGCCAGTAAATAGTGTTATAACAAGGTTCCGGAAGGCCGACGTGCGCAGGCCCCCTTGCAGTAATCACTTGAAACTGCCAAAGCGCCATTTAGGGAGTGGTTAGGGCATGGGAAGCTTTGAAGGACAAAGAGCTATGGCATCTCTAGGACCTGCAGTCTTCTGCAGGCAAATTTGTGCAATGAGTTGCACCCTAAACCCCCTTTGCTAAAACGTCCCCAAACTCTGCCCCCGGCCGGAGGGCTCCGGCAGAAAGTCCTGGAGAATGCGACGCGGACACGAGGCGTGCCATCACGAACGACCCTGTCCGCCGAGGAGGAAGGCACCTGGGATTTCCGGATAGCTTCTGGTAGGATGGGATAGTTTCTCAACATATGGATGGAAGAAAAAGATTCAAATAGGCATACCCACAGGTGCAGTAATGATCTCCAACAAATGGAGAAGCAAAGTACCTCTGTAACACGTCCTAGTTTGGGAGGCTCCCATTTCGGCCTTGAAGACTTTCTTGCAGCAATTCTCGAGCGACGGGGCCGGGAATGTGACTGTGCAGCCAAGTTCCTGGAGGGTCAGAAAGACGATTATAAGTGGGTTCATAATACTGGGTTTATTACATGTCTGAAAGAGGCTATCAATGTATGTTACCAAGTTTTCCAGACTGCTCAACTGCAGGTTTCGCCAAGGTGGCATTCCGCTGAACAAAAATCGCTATACAACAATGCTCGGTTGTAAAAAAATCCACAATCCTAAGCCCAAGACCCTAACAACCAGACCCTGAGGTCCAGCCCCTAAGCCCTAAACCCTGAACCCTAAGCCATGAACTCTACGCTCTAGACGCTATCTACAAGGCTTCAGGTTGTTGTAGGGAACTCTTCCACTTTTCTTCAGCACCACGAAGCAATTGGCAAACCCCGGGACCCAAAGATGTCTGGACAAAGAAACGCAACACGCCTCTGCTGGGCCACTCTTAAGGTAGTCTAGGGTTCAGGGTTTAAGGCTGTTGGATCACTTTTCAACGTTTGTCATACAAAGCCCGAGAAGGAGTACAGACGCGCATGTCGTAGAAACTCCCAGTAAGCCATTTTGGATACGGCATGTAGCTTGGTCCCGAAAGTTCTCAGTGTGATGAACCTTGCAGTCTTTCCCTTACATCGAAACTAGCTTGCTGAGGCTAGTACGGAATAAGGGAGATATTAGATAGGGACTATAGAGGGATCATATTCCCTTACTCCCCACTTACAACCAGTAAGTTAGATGGTTGTAAGATTCAGTGCGGAGCTTGTACTCGCTGCCAGGACGCAGCGTCTTCAAACTGCTCTCGATGGCTGCCGCGATGGAGGGCCCCCTAGAGGATCCCAAAATGGAACCCCACAATGGCCCTCCAACAATCCCCGAGTTTCCCTGATGTAGTAGTTCCATTTTTGGGATCCTTGAGGGAGCCTGGGTCAGCAAGCGGCCGAGGGCGCAAAGCTTCCCTCGTTCGCGAGGCAGTATGGGGGTTTCCCAAGAAAGTGGTGGCCGTTTTGGAAATACTTACGAATCAGAAGGGCTTTAGTGAGTATAGTGTTCTGGTGTACCGCCACCCCTAATTTGGGGTAAGACCTGTACAGCCTTCGTTAGAGTGAGGCCTTCGCAAAGGCCGTGTGCTCAAATCTGTGAGGGCAATGGGCTGCCGGCCTCAATCCAATAATCCAAGGCATGCAAGACATTTGCACGGGGGCAGAAAAGTAAGTTTCAAACCCTAAACCCTAAACCTACTGAAGAGGACCATGCCCACAAGACAACCTTGGTTTTCTTTTGTTCTCGCAGTTTGCCCCAGCAGTCTGCTTTGCAGAGCGTGTTGTGGCTGCTTATCTCCTACGTGCTGATCCTGGCATATGTCCCATGAGCGCGAAAAAGGGGAGAAGGCCGCACCATTATTCTTACTACTCTTGTTACTGTGACTATTATTCACTAGATTTTTTGTTATTTCTATTTTGATCATTACTATTACTGTCTGCATTATCATCATCACCATGATCATTCTTACTACAGTTATTATTATTGTTATTATTCTTAGTACTGTCATTAGTACTAGTATTGTTATTTACAATTATTGCCATGTTTAAGATTGCGGCAAGGACTTAACATCCCAGAGCAGCGTGTAGGGGACAACAATCTCCGGGCGACACTCATATGAAGCGTTGAATAGAAGCAGCTCTGACGCACAAGCCCAAATAGCGTGGGTTGGTGTGAAGGGATTTAATTCCAGTTACCACAATATGGCTATATAGTAAATAATCGGATTTCCTTATTGAAGTCACTTTTTTGGAGCTCCTTAACGGCAACCGAGTAATTGACGATATTGTTTGTCTCTAACCCTCATATATCTGTATCAGCATAGTATAGCACAAAACCCCTGTTCTGATCGGGCTGCTTAATTTTTCTTTATACCGGGTATGGTGTCATACCCCTTTTTTGGCACAGGGGCATGGCTGGATGATTTTGAGCTTCGCCCGCGCTATCGAGTGAGCAAACCCCAAGCCCCATATCAAGAGACCGCGCGTCTAAGGGCCTAGGATCCGAGCAATGCACTCAGAGAATGCATCATGAGCATCAGCTGGACCGTCTTGCTCAGATTAGGGGGTGCCAGGCCAGCATCACGAGCATCAGCTGGACCGTTTTGCTCAGATTAGGGGGTGCCAGGCCAGCATCATGAGCATGAGCTGAACCGTTTTGCTCAGATCAGGGGGTGCCAGGCCAGCATCATGAGCATCAGCTGGACCATTTGCTCAGATTAGGGGGTGCCAGGCCAGCATCATGAGCTTCAGCTGGACCATTTGCTCAGATTAGGGGGTACCAGGCGAGCGTCAGGAGCATCAGCTGGCCCTTTTCCTGTGATTAGGGGGTGCCAGACGAGCATCATGAGTATCAGCTGGACCGTTTTGCGCAGACTGGGGGGTGCCAGGCGGGCATCATGAGCATCAGCTGGACCCTTTGCTCAGATTAGGGGGTGCCAGGCGGGCATCATGAGCATCAGCTGGAGCTTTGTGCTCAGATTAGGGGGTGCCAGGCCAGCATCATGGGCATCAGCTGGACCATTTGCTCAGATTAGGGGGTGCCAGGCCAGCATCATGAGCATCAGCTGGACCGTTCTGCTCAGATTAGAGGGTGCCAGGCGGGCATCATGAGCATCAGCTGGACCCTTTTGCTCAGATTAGGGGGTGTCAGGCCAGCATCATGAGCATCAGCTGGACCGTCTTGCTCAGATTAGGGGGTGCCAGGCCAGCATCGTGAGCATCAGCTGGACCGTCTTGCTCAGATGAGGCGGTGCCAGGCCAGCATCATGAGCATCAGCTGGACCATTTGCACAGATTAGGGGGTGCCAGGCGAGCATCATGAGCATCAGCTGGACCCTTTTCCTGCGATTAGGGGGTGCCAGTTGTGCTCAGATTAGGGGGTGCCGGGAGAGCATCATGAGCATCAGCTGGACCGTTCTGCTCAGATTAGAGGGTGTCAGGCGAGCGTCATGAGCATCAGCTGGACCGTTTTGCTCAGATTAGGGTTAGGGGATGCCAGGAGAGCATCATGAACATCAGCTGGACCCTTTTGCTCAGATTAGGGGTACCAGGCGAGCATCAGGAACATCAGCTGGACTCTTTGCTGAGATTAGAGGGTGCCAGGCGGGCATCATGGGCATCAGCTGGACCCTTTTGCTCAGATTAGAGGGTGCCAGGCGAGCATCATGAGCATCAGCTGGACCATTTGCTCAGATTAGGGGGTGCCAGGCGAGCATCATGGGCATCAGCTGGACCCTTTTGCTCAGATTAGGCGGTGCCAGGCGAGCATCATGAGCATCAGCTGGACCCTTTTGCTCAGATTAGAGGGTGCCAGGCGAGCATCATGAGCATCAGCTGGACCCTTTGCTGAGAGTAGAGGGTGCCAGGCGGGCATCATGAGCAGCTGGACCCTTCTGCTCAGATTAGGGGGTGCCAGGCGAGCATCATGAGCATCAGCTGGAGCTTTGTGCTCAGATTAGGGGGTGCCAGGAGAGCCTCATGAACATCAGCTGGACTGTTCTGCTCAGATTAGAGGGTACCAGGCGAGCGTCAGGAGCATCAGCTGGCCCTGTTGCTCGGATGAGGGGCATCATCCGGACACTTTTGCTTGGATTAGGGGGTCATGAGCATCAGCTGGAGCCTTTTCGGCTTTAGGGTTTATGGTTTAGGGTTTAGAGCGTCAAGTCTTGAAGCCCTATATATAGGTCCCCAAACTAGGGTACCGGGGGTTCTACGGGGTCATTTAGGTTATGTAGGGATTTGTAGGGTTTAAAGTTTAGGGCACACGGTTGCCCGAACTTAGGGTTACCGTTTTAGAGGGTCCCCTTCATAAGGACGATTTTTTTTCGGGTCTACATTGGTTCTCCCCACTTACTGAAGGTACCTTTTCGGAACGCCCCCTAGGTGACTCTGTCTACGGATGATCCGCTGATGTTCCATGCGACGAAGGTGGGGCCTACGGGGAGGTCCCTCTAGGGCTCTACACTCGTGCCAGCCCCCGTTCAAAATTTTGCGCGCTGTGAATTGCGGCCTGTAGCACATTCCTGAATCCTGCATAAACGCTACTGAGTGGCTGGGCCGTGTCTAGAACTGGATAGGGCTTCCCTCACCTCCGGACCCTGCATC